AACATTTTACTTATATATTGCAATTTTACAAATTTATAGGCGAATAAAGGTACCCAAAGGAAATTTGTGTAAATATTGTAATACTTAAAAAGGTTCGTGTCTGGAACTCGTATGTGTATTATTGTCACCCTAAAGTGTACTATTAAATGATTAATTTTTCGTAACCCCCGTGTCATGCTTCTACATTTTAATTAATAATAGTCAATTTTCCCTCGGTCATTTCAGTCATATTCGAGGTTTTTGTATTAAACGTCGTGTGTTAAAAGTATATGTGCATTTTTGAGTGTCAAAGCGTTAGAAATCTTTATAGGTTTTTTTACATTACTTTGTTTTTTTTTTCATTTTTCATTTGCATTATATTTATTGATATATAATTTTAATTTATTGTAATTTATTCAAATGACTTCAAATCAAAAAGCGATTACATACAAAAATAAATAATAGGAGTGTGTTGATTTAGACTTTTTTGCATTTGTTGGATTTTATTAAAACAAACAATTCAACAACATTGTGAAAAGAAGTTAACATATAACATTGACTTAAAATATTCAGAAAAAGCATTTAATTTAACACTCGCAGTTGATACCATAAATAAAAAACATGGTAAGAAATTGATTGAAATCTACTAACGTTAAAATATTAATAAATAAATATAACACAATAGCTTCGAAAAATAAAAACTGAAATATTAAAAATATAGTTCAAAAATATACGCATACATTTTTTAAAGAATAAGTCAACCTTATTTAAAAGGTTTATATTAATAAAGCCACCTTATCAATATCGGAATCTCAGTCGTATTTTAAAAGTTAGCGCCCCGGACTCAACAAAGTTACTGTTCTGTAAAATACAATCAAACCAGATTATTAAGGCTTTTCTAAAATAATGGAAACGAAACAATTGACGAAAGAATAAGTAATATTTGTTGAAAGTGATGAGTGCTTTGTTTTGCATAAAAAAGAAACAGCTTGTATTGTTTTAGAAACTGAAATATATTAAAATGTTTTGGTATACCTGCATTCCTGCAAATCCCCGGTTATTAGGTATCACCAAAGGACTTTAATAGTCCACTGCTGGACATAGGCCTCTCCTTAGAAGGAGGTTTTTGTCTACTATAACGCTAACCAGATGGGTTGGTATAGGATCTGTGATAAGTTTTCCTTCTCTTTGCAGTGCTGTTGTCAGCGTAGTTTGCTTAATTAGACGGCTCTTACGACAACCACGCGATTAACAGGGGTGGTGACACTCCGTATTCTTAATCCGTCACCACAGGGACCATTTTATTACGTATAGGAGGTTGTATAAAGCTTACCGTGGGAGAGTCATGCTTCAGCATAGATGGGCCAGCTCGACTGTAGTGATACCACGGCCTCACAGAAAGTCGATGTTAAGCATTACTTTTTTTCTTTTAAAAAAGTATAACTCCCGCACTAGGAATAAATCCTGTGTCGCGGGGGACTTTACAAACATACATGAAAACGTACACATAGAACGCCCAGACTTAGAACAACAATTTGTGGATCACACAAAGTGTTGTCTCAAGTGGGGATCGAACCCACAACGAAGCGGCGAGGTGATCGCTCAATCCAATCCAGTCTTTCCTTGCTTTCTACCGGGCGTATAAGTTTATCGGAGCCTAAACCTACCCCCCACTACTTCAAGAATTCTTGGGAAAGGTGCACTCACTTGTGCTTTTTAAGTTGAAGTGTCCATGGTTGGCGTTAGACTCTTAAAATCTGCAGTGCTATTCTCTAAGGAAACATCTTTGCGTACAGCGCTACCACAGCATCGAACTTCAAACCAACTTAGTTTGAAATTCGACGCTGTGACAGCGCTGTAGCGTCGAATTTCAAACGATGCAGGTCACTTGTCTGCTCGTTTGCCCCCTATTTAATAAAAAGGTAATAAGTATAATATCCTTAGCAATTTACTAGTTAATATAGTCGTAGACCGGATGGCGTAGTGATTTGTGTAACGGACTGCTGCCCAATAATTAGTTTTTTATGTAATAGAATGTGTAATCAAATAAAAACAAAGATTTTATAATTGATTTGATAGTTTTTAATATCTCGTGCTCTTCAATTATTATAACCGATTTATAATTTTGGCAATTCAATTAATAATCATATTTGACTTCCGACGGTCACTATTTGCGGCAGAATTTCGATATTAGAATATTAGACTATGTTGACTTATAAGTTACTGGATACATCCAATATTTGAGAGTGAGTTGGTATACATAAAACACATGAGAATCATCGTATATTTTAACACTTTCGCTTTCATGAAATTTTCGGATCAGTCGAATAATCGGGAAATATTGATTTCTTCTATTATAAGTAGACATTGAGGAAGTATTACCGGATTAAGAGAGCTCGTCATTTTATATCTTACTGGTGTTCGTTATTTTCAGTCGCGGCTTCGCTCGCATTTAAGTTTTGTAATATACTTCGATGACAGTATTTTTCGAGAGAAGCACGCTGTATTCTTTTTTTTTCGTTCATAACGTGTATAAAATATTTCATTATCACTTCACTTCTGTTCAGTAATTAAAGGCCTAATAAATTAAAAAAATACTAACTAACTTCTGATTTTTATTTATTTGTAAGGATTAGGTTACCGACTAAAATCTAACTTAATAAACAAGAAAACGAGGTAGACATACTGTTTTGAATACTCATATATGGCATCAAAGAAAATCAACAAGAAAATCAAAAAGTAATGATTTATGAAAAGAATTTCGGAACTAACGATCATAAAAATACACGAATTTATTAATCATAAAAACTTGTTTAAAAAAACTAGGCAATCGAAGCAATCAACTACACAAAAAGTTAACACTTTACTGTTAATAACGGTATATGAGAATAATTTTAAGCAAACTCTTGATAACATAATGTTGATTTCTCCATTTAAACATTGTTTGAGTTTTTGCCTCTGCGTCTATCAACACTGAGATAAATGAATGCTTAATTATTATTACGTTGTACATGTACAATACATTTTTGTTTTATCCAACATTGAATTTATGTTTTTATCTTTTTCATTAAAAAATACATCTCCCGCACTAGAAATAAATCCTGTCTCGCAGGGAACCTTACCAACTTAAATGAAACGAACACAAAGAACACCTAGACTCAGAATAACAATTTGTATATTATACAAAGTGTTGTCCCATGTGGGGATCAAACCCACAACACTCAACCCAGTAGAAAGCGGTGACGTGGCCGCTTAAATAATTGTAAATTGCACATACGTGTAATTTGCTTTAACACTCTTAATACACTCTATAAACCTAAAATGCATACATAACCCAAGAGGTTAGTTGAGACCGTGATTTAGCTTATTTAGTCTGTAAAATTTGTATACTGTTTCTTTTTCTTTTTTTGATTGCACCTCAAATTATTAATATAGTGCTATAAGTGAAGACTTGTAATTGGCTTTCAGGCAATTATTGTAATTTGTAACGTTTTGAACAATTGTAGCTGTAAGTCTTCCATGCTCTAATTAAATAAATAAATAAATACTCTCATAATAGAGTTGGTTCCTTTCTTTTCTTTAATTACTGATTTATAAAGATATTTTAAACGAGCACATGTCAATAAAACATTTAGAAAATTCATGGAACAAAGTGAAATCCAAAGAGATCTGTTTCATCCATCATAAATATTAGAATCTTCATTTAAAAGTCCTTCGTGTTATATAAGTATTACATCAAGCAAAATTTTAAGCGTTTAATGGTTTTACCCACTATTCCCAAATTTTATTTACCTTATTTGGATTTCACAATATCATATTTTAAATTAAATATTTTGTAATGCGTGCTGTCAACACAAAAGAATAATCTTCACTTATATTTTTACCTATTTATTTTCAGAAATAAAGGTCATATTATTAAAATCATATTAGGAAATGGTTTTTACGGTTTGATGTGACGTGATCTAACAACAGCCAATAGAAAAGAAGATTGTTTTTTTATTTATGTACAACTAAGTAAAAACTTAAGTAGACAGTTGTCTACTTTATTCTGTATTACTTTGACGCTTATTATCTTCTAAATTATGAAATTTGACTTATGATTACCCGTTTGGAAAATTTGAGCCACCACCTCAGCTCCTTTTTACGTGCGAATCAACATACACAAACTCAAAATAACACAACATAACATTAACGACGTAAACCGGTTTCTTGACTGCCAGAAATATGTATGCCACACGACGCAGTCTGTTTTGTGAATTAATTTTGTAGATATCCTGTTATTAAACTAAATTAAGTACATTTTCAGACGCTACCTAGTCTGTGATATTGATTTATTTTACTGACATTTACTACTATATATATATTCTTAGAAATTTAGAAAACTTATTTCAGTCTTGATTACTAGAGGTTTCTCTTCTACTCTTGTAAATAGTTGAAATAACTTACTTTTTTATGTTTATTATAGCTATGTATTATACCTTCCTATATATATACCTATATTATAAGCTTTCTTAGATCATTAAAAACAATATTAATAGATCAAAAACTTCGTCTAGACGTCAACTGACAACATTACGTTTAAAATAAATTATAAAAATCCACTAATTTTGTTTTTATGACGCAAATTCAGAAAACAACTTTACAAATTATACCTAGTAGGTGCTATTATGTAATGATAATGAGCAGTTACTAACGAGAAAAAAATGATTGATTCAATTTAGTTGTCATTAAACGTCTCGTAGAGGTGCGTGTGCGATTACGGAAACCCCGTCGAAACTTTTGTTGAGTAATATTTAGTAGTGCCCTCGCGACTCGCGGACGCAACAGACGTATAAAGTGAATGAGTGTTCATAAATAGGATGACCACAAAAATGAGAGTCATAGTAACTATTATATTTGTGATATTGACACGGACAGAATGCCAAAAGTGTAACCACGAAAGTAGTGTCGAATTAGTGAATAGATTTCATAACGGTAATCAATATGAAGAAGGTAAATATTTTGTGGATAACACAACAGGAATGGAGAGAGGCTGTGTGTGTATGAAAGAAACATGTGCCAGAAAATGTTGTCCTTTTGGTCAGGGATACGAGAAGACCACTAAGAAATGTATCGACCTCCCGGAAAAGTTTGAACCACCGGTTTGGGAAGGATCAACATTGAGGTCAGAATTTAACATTACCAAGGAATTTCATTTTTTGTTCAATAAAATGAATTGTTCACGTGAGTTGGAGGAGTTAAGAATTCCTATACGAGCCATGTTATTGCCGTTCCACCTGGAGACGGTGAGAATAATTTTATCTTAACCAATAGTTTTAGTTATAGGACTTGAAACTACATTCATAATATGTCACAAAATGGTATAATAAAATTACAGTATTCGAAGCCATGTGATCTATTAAAGTACTGTTAAAATATAGTTTGTTTGATAGTAAAGCCACATGCTATCATTATCTAGTTATTTGGTAACCAATCAGGAAGTACAGTGGTTGTCACGAATTTTGACCAAAAAGTTTTTATTACCATGTGTCTTGTCGTTTCAATTTGTATCAACTACTTAAAATAGTGAATAATTCGTTGTGAACTCTGCAATAGGCAATAAATTAAGCAATTATATGTATCATTAATGAATTATATTATTTATGTTCTAATCTTGATTGGAGAAGACAATGCAACCTCGGAATTTGTAACTTACAGGTGAATCATGTTGTTTTTACCAGATTCACACATGTATATTTATAGGATTTGAGTTTCCTAATTATGGAAGTCATCAAATTAGATACTATTGTTCGTGTTTATGACAATCATGACTTGACGGTCACGGTACCAATCACTCAGAGCCGACCAACTTAAAGTACTTGATGGAGTAATCTCAGCTTTATCACACCTAATGTTGTTCTCGTACAGGTGATAATGATATTCATTATCACCTGTACGTACTAACCGTATACTGAAATTAGGGATTTCCTCTATTTTATTCTATGCTATTCAGTAAATATAACGCGAAAAATTGAGATATTTTCTGTACACAAACAAGAAAAGAGGCAGGTCTCTAGTATTAATCTGCTGAAACAGAAAGTAAAGAAGAAGACCTACGGCTACGAGTTGTCTTTTTTTGAAAAAAAAAACTCGCACTAGGAATAAATCCTGTGTCGAGGGGGACTTTACAAACATATATGAAACGGACACAAAGAACACCCAGACTCAGAACAATAATTTGTGGATCACACAAAGTGTTGTCCCATGTGGGGATCGAACCCACAACACTCAGCGCAGTAGGAAGCGGCGAGGTGACCGCTTTTACCACTACGACATCCGTGCAGTCGCCGATAGAATATAGATAGTTCAGAAAAAAAAAACAATACATAACGTTCGACATAGTCTTCTCAGAGAGCAGATTCTGACAAGAGCGTCTGATATTCTACAACTTATTGCCTCTAAGTTAAATATTAAATACTTAACAATTCTCAAACACAGCCGTGTGATCCCAAACTAGATAGGGCCTGTGCTATGAAAAGCAAACTGCTGAAAAATACTTATAATTGCTAAATACACGCTTCGCTGTGGCTCATTAAAATTGCATTGACGATAAATAAGGAACAAAACTGACGCGAAAAATAGATAAAAACATCTTTGAAGCATTTATATATCGAGTCAAATTTGAGCTCACTCGGTTAAAACTGAACATCTTTTATATAAAATTCTCGTGTCACAATGTTAGTTACCATACTCCTCCGAAACGGCTGGACGGATTTTTATGAAATTTTGTGTGCTCATCGGGTAAGTCTGAGAATCTGCCAACATCTATTTTTCATACCCTTAAATGACAAGGGTGACCCACCTCTAATTTTTTTTTCAATATTTCTTAGAAATAATGTATATGGCAGAACAACGTTTGCCGGGTCAGCTAGTTTTATATAGATTACTTCCAACCTCAGCACAAATGATCGTGCCCATCACACAATTAATTATCCTGGGTGGGAAGCTAACCTGCAATCTTCAGCGTAGCGGTCGGGGTCACTTACTACTAGAACAACCGATTAGTTAAAAAAAAAGCCGTGTGGTGTCGTGGGACACCCGATAGAAACGAAGTTGTGACGATCGAGTAAAACTGATTCGACACGATTTTAATTACAACGCCATCTATGAAAGCGGCTATTACCTACATATTTTTCAGTTGGTTTCTAATTAAAACAATTTATACATTGGTAAAATCTCTTTGAGAAATGATTTCCTATCTATTCGATAGATGGCGCTGAATGACTGACAAGTGACAATTCAAATAAATACTGAGATGAAAAGTAATGATTTCCTATCTATTCGATAGATGGCGCTGATTGACTGACATAAAAGTGTCGTTACAACTTTTCGTGAGATTTTTTTCCGTCTAGCCCCCTTTCACAACGCGCGATAAGGAACTTCGTTCCAAAAAAAAAAAAATTACTTCTAAATTGATTTTCCATGAAAAAGATATACATATAAGTAGTGTCAGTCTTTCACATGCTACAAGATCCATTCATTTATGTATTCAGAGAAGCTAAAATGATGTCCAACAGTTCATTTGTTATTTGTTCATTTGTTGCGAAAATAGTACGGACTTATTAAGGTATGACACTTGTAAATAACAGGTCTTGTCATGCACATGTTTTAATTATTTTTCATAATTACGCTCCCCACAATCATGACACATCCACTTTTGAACATAGTCTTCTGTTTAAATTATTTTATTGTTACCGGGTAAGATTTCAGTTGGGGAATTGTTTCGACTGTTTTACGTAAGTGACTGTTTACCTCAACGATCGTCATTTCTGCACGGTACGTGATCTGTTCAATGTAAAGCGACTTTTATAGCGGCTATTTTATGTTTTGGGTGATTTTATGAATATATGTTTTGGGTAAAAGACAGCAGCTATTTTGGTCGCGTGAAGTTGCATATACTTGTTTATGGTTATAGCAGATAACCATGTTTATGGTTTTTCTCTCAGAACCTTAATTAATTTACCAAAAAAAGTAGTTCAAGTTCTATCTTTCATAACATAAGTTATCTTCCAGTGAAAGCCCGGTTAAATTGGTCTGTCCAATGCAGAGATTTGTCTCAAGAACCAGATCAAATGTTTTAAATAGAATACCCAACACTTTTAAAATACTTATTTCTTTAGTTGGTCTTTGATATAACTGAAATAACATTCCTAAAATTAGTTAGACAATATTAAAGGATATTTACACTTAACTACATAAAAATATAAACGTGTCAAAAAATACTAAATGAAAAAATAGGCACATGGTAATTAAATTAAGTTGACAACAGATTTAATTATTGAACACATAAATATTTTTTATCAATGACTGTCGTAAATTATAAGTCCGTCCGGCAAGTTCTATCCAACTTCTTATTTCTTGTTCTATTTTTGAATAATAGGTACTGAAACGCTGATATATCATCAAGCAATGGCATTCACTCTCTCTTTTTTGATAGACTGAAATGCAATATCCTCCTGTCCATTTTATAGTGTTCTAATCGAGATACGAGGTTTGTTTTAGTCTAACATCACTCAAATTAAATGGAAACTAAGTGTGACATTTAAATAAAAACTAATCACCGAACCGCGCAGACCCTCCTTGTATGAGTAGAAATATACACAAATATTAAAGTTCATGAAGAAACAACAACCTTTAAAGTATGTAGGGAAAACCCATAGACGGCTAATGACTTGTGTTTCTACCTACAGTATGACACGTTATAACCGCATTGCCCATTAGCTCTGACTGGAAAAATGGTTTCTTAAGGATCTTGATTTTTTTATTTGGATCTCGTCGTACGGATTTCCGCTTAGTGCAAAGATGTGTATAACTGCATATGATATTTAATAAAACAAATATAAATATTGGTTTAGGTTTTGTACCAATGTATTTTAATTGTTATTTAATTCAAAGTACCTCAGTATGTATAAATGAAGTAAATAACATAAAGTATAAATTCAGCTTAGTACAGGTCTAGCTATGTTTAATTTAATATTCCTATTATTCACATAATCATCATCATCACATCGAAAACAAACACATTATGAACATTTCAAGTTAATGGTTCATAATAATTTAAATTATGTCAATAAACACAAAATTCGAAATGAACAAAAACAATTTTAAGTCTTACTATAGGAATACTTTACAGAACTTTTCAGATATATCTGGAAAAAAAAACCTGTCAATTTGTTATTTTTAAGGTTAATAAATGTTAAATTTGTTATTTGACATATTGTAACATAATAAATGAATGCAAAATTTTATTTACATTTTTACTACTTGAAAGTATAGCTAGTAAATATTTATCTTACAAACTCAAAATCAAATATGTTTATGTCATAAAAAAAAAAATTGAAATCGTCTCTTGTGTAAGTCATATGTAGATCAACACACACAATAGCAACAATCTTTGTTTTGTCAAATATTTAGCAAACTCAATATATACGTATTGAAAATCTCTTATATGCCTGTGCCGATATACAGTCGCTCATTTCCAAGGGGTTGAGCCTCATGAGAAGAAAGGGCAAACAAACTCACGGCCATTACGTTGTACGAAGTGATGAAATCTTTCACTGTTTACAGATTATATAACTCGATCCTGGTCCAAATGACCATCAATTGTGTAACGTACCCTACTTCGGTGTTTGTATAATGTAATCATTGGTTTCAGATAAGAATTTACAACTTGTATTTGCTTTGAACAATAAAGTTGTTGTAGTACAACTTTTTAAATATTTAAATAGATAGCGGCATGTATCACACTAATATTGTAAAGGTCAAATACTTGTGAGTGTGTGTACGTTTGTTATTTCTTACGCTCAAACGGCTGGACCAATTTTGATAAAATTTTGTGTGGAGGTAGCTGACAGCCTGGATCAATACATAGGCTACTTTTATTCCGAAAAAGTTAGTTTTAAAGGCGTAGCTAGTAATTTATAAATAAGTAGCCACAATTTAGTTTTTAAGTATTTTGGTTATCTCATCGGTAGGAATTTGTTCTAACTTAATTTAAAGCAAAATATTTAAAGAATTGCTCATACTGTAAATATTTCTTGAAGACATCAGATTTTATTTACGCGTGTTCTTGGAAATTATGAAATCAATGGACATTATCAAGGGGTTAATAACCATTTTATTCGAATATAAATATCATATCCAAGTTGGTCTTTTGTTGTGAGGTCAAGCCTCAACGGATGAATATAGATAATAGCGAATGTACCGACCTCCATAAGGTAGCCCCACTTTATAAGAACGATCTCAA